AAAGGCCGGGGCATGTTTTCTGGGTTAACCACTAAAGAGCTAACTCTCCCACCACCTGCTCTGAGCCCACATCGTTATCAAGGATCGTCACACCAAGGCCAAGGGCCATGCTGGCCCTTCCCCTGCGCTGCTGGCTATGGATCTGACCACGGATCCACACGTGGGGCGGGGGTGGGGGGGTACAACCTCAGAACAGGAGTGGGGGGCTGGGCTTCACCCCCCCACACCCCCAACCATTCTTCCAGCGCAGGGGTGAACGCAGCTTCCTCCTGGGGCTGCCTCACCTACCCTCACCTACCCGACTTGCCCCGTGGACACTCCTCACACCTCTGGAACCGTCCCCCACGCCCCACCCTCCTCCTCAACTTTCTGGTGTGTTTTTCGGTCTGGATGACACCCTCTTCCCTGCCGTCACCATCACAGTCCTGTGATCTTGTGCAAATGTTCACAGCATTGTTAGGACAGAGACTGTCTCTCATTCATTTTTCTACAGAAACACTGTGTCGTGCCAGAACTCCATCAGTGTGCCCCCCACCTAAAACGTTATAAATTTGATCCAGAAAATATTCTTTGTCCAAGTGTGGATTTATTTCAAAATTGTCAAGATTTATATATTATTACATATGATAAGCAACTTTTAGCTTAAAGTAAAAACTTTCACATTTAAGGTGTTTTTTAAAAAAAAGATACTTTAAAAACAGACATTTTTAAAAGAGCTTGCGGCACAGTCTTAAATATTCACATCTTAGATGCTGCTTAGAAAAGGTTAAAAAACCAGGGAAAAAATCATTTACAATTGGCAGAGATTAAAAGCTCCTAATCTGCGGGGAGAGCACGTTAACGACACATCATGAATTTCACGTTACGAGTGTTTAACAGTTTAATCAAGCGTGGCCTTTCCGCCAGCACACAAAACGGTCACGACGGTCATGGCAGCTGTAGGGGGGAGTGATTACTGCATCGGGAAAGGCGTACTTCACCAAAAACACAACATCAGTCCTTCCAATGCTCTTTTCAAAGAATTTCTCATTTTCAACTTAAGAGAGAAGAGCAGCATTTAATTACTGCATCCCTGGTTGGGGGGAAAAAAGAGGAAAAACAATATAATAACCTGCCTCAGGAGCAAACGTGGACAACACATTCCCGCCCAGAGACAGACACGTGAGGACCTTTTACAAGAGAACTCAGTGAAGCCATCAAAACATTTTCTAACTAAAACTCTGCTGAGTATCACTTGAAATCAGAAACTGAAATTTCAAAATAATGTTTTAACGTCTGAAATGGCATTTATTTTAGGAAATCTTTTCCAGCACACATGCTAATCTTAATGTAAAGAAACAAACATAAATACCAAAAATAACCTGACAAAAGAACCAAGTTTTAAAACAACGAACTGGATTTTAAAAAGCAAAACGTGTATGACGAATCCTCAGAATTCAAAAAAAATAAAATAAAATTCACAAGACTTCGCCCTTCACATTTTCTTTCCAAAACAGTTTGTTTCAACTATCACTTGATGCTTTTATGCATTTAAAATTACTGTTTGTATACGGATTGTTAAAAGCATGCACCAGTCAGGGCGCCTGGCTGGCTCAGTCAGAAGAACATGAGACTTTGGACCTCGGGGTTAGGAACTTGAGCCCCACGCTGGGTGTAGAGATTTAAAAAAAAAAAAACCTTACTAAATAAAAAAATGAAGGAAAGCAGTGACCAGGGGACTAGAGCTGTGTGAGCAGATTCTATATGCTTCCCTCAAAGGCAGAGGGTTAAGCACTTTCTAGTAGCCTGGCCATGGCTTTGAGCTCAGTCTTACAGGGGTGGTTATCACTTCTAGGTGACCTGTCCTCTTGCTGAGAAACGGCACGACATCTCCCAGCTGGGGCCCCGAGGACAGGCGAGCTACCTATGGTCCCCCTGCTGGACAGCCTGCCCACCTGGGTTGACCCCGTATAGGCACTCATCAGAAAGAATCATCCATTTGAGATGAATAAAAATCATATTTCTACAGTTTCCTTCATTGTTCACGTTAGGCATACGAGTTTGCTGTTTTTCATATGTAACCTGTTCCCAAATTTCACCCAGAAGCAAAGTTGTGCCTCAACAGAGTACTTTTCTGAACCGGTCAGGTTTAAGGTTATAATTAGGTTTTTCCCTCCACAACTAAATTAGTACATTTCTCTGAAAAAAATGCAGGAAAATGGTAGTTACTCTTGACACATAAAATAAATATGTTTCTACTGGCTTCAAACAAACACCGATGTATCAGACCTCAGTTTCTCACTAACTTCCTGTTTTTTTGTTTTTTTTTGTTTTTAATGTGGAATTTTGTTTTACTGGTGTCTGTCCATCCCATTTACCGAGTATTTGCAGTCAGGGAAGGATCAGGAATCTGTCGTCAAAATTTCCTAACTGTAAATGTTTAATTGGTAAAAACAGGAGGTTCCAACCTGGTTGCTACACATGTTCTGAATGGTTTTGCTTTATACGGCAAACTTCTATTGATCTTATTTAAAAAGTAAATAAAGTAAATGGGGGGGGGGAGCATGCGGAGAGAAAGTCTACGAAAAACAGCTTTTTACATCATATCTGAATGTGCATATCCTAAAATTCACGTAACTGTGTCAAGATCAGCAGAGGACCAGAAACGACAAGATGGAATTTGAACAGTCTCACCTTGCATACGGGATGTACGACAGGCTGTACCTGCAAGAAAAATTCAAAGATGCTGAGACGATCCCGACACCTGCCGCTCTTCTTCGTGCCGAGGGGCCACACTCCAACACCGTAACAAACAAAGCTGCGCGATACTGTGCAGTAACCCTCAAAGCACAGCCCCAGACCGGTAACGGCAGCTTCAGCCGGGAACTTGGTAAACGGGCAAGTGATTGTTCCCCGCCCCCCGCCTCCCGAACAAGAAACTCTGTGTTTTCAGGAGCCATCTGTGGGACTCGACCGCCCGCTGCAGTCTGGGCCTGTTCCGGTAAGAAGGTCGCCCTTTTAAGTCTTTTCGATCAAGAGAGTAAAGCAAGAATAAACGGCATTCCCCTTCAGGGACACGTCAACCATCACGTACAGATGATGCCACAAAATGCAACCTCTTACAGAAAAAGGCCAAGGCCCGGGATTTCCATCTTCCCACGGTTCCCCGAACACGAGTGAAGCCACGCACAGAGAAGCGCCGGTAACACCCGTCGAGGCCGCGACCAGCGGAGGGGAACAGGGCGCAAGGAAAGACTGATCTCGCAGGGGCGACGTCAGAGAGGCTGAAGGCCACGAGCCCAGGCAGGGTAGCCTGACCCCTGCAGGGAGCGCACGAACTCAGCTCTGAAGAAGGAAAACCCTCTGACAGACACTGGATCTGTGACAAACACGGAGGCGTGTGAGGAGGGGCGCAACCAACCCGATCACGCACTCACCGCAGCCCAGACCCTAAAGAGGCTTCCCGGAGGAGGGGAGCATGTGGCCGGGGAGGGAAGGGCGAGGCCGAATACTCGCAGGGACAGGTCACCACAGGCATCGGGAAGGCCGAGAAGCGGGATTTGCAACCATGGGCAGCTGACTCTGTGGAACCACGTGGGTTTGAACTCATTGGGTCCACTTAAATGTGGATTTTTTTTTTCCCCCAATAAATACAACTGGGAAATTTTTTGGCTGGAGATCTGCACCATTTTGAAAAAACCTGGCAGATGAAGCCCGCGGCCGAGGAATACCAAAAAGAATTAAGGAATAGGTGTAATCGTAAGACCACACTACGGGACACATACAGAAAATGCGTATTAATCGACTGTTTCTGTAACTGGCGAAGCTTCAACAGTAGGCTCTTGGTAGTTAAGTTCTGGGGCAAAGGTCATACACAGATTTCCCACGGTGGGGGTTGGTGGGTGGGGGGTGGTGCCCCTCGTGCCGAAGGTCAACTGTATTCACTGACGATTCAGATGGGACGTGCCAGATATCACAGGGCCACGTTCAGCAGAGGGAATTCTCCCTTATAACTATCGGGCAACACGGAGCAAAGAGCCAGTATTCTCCCGGGCTTCTCCCTGACATGGCCTCGCTCGTACACGTCCATCTGGTATTCCCCACATGTGCTGTCGTTTCTTTCTCATACGAGGAGGAAGTAAGGGCATCATTGTGCAACAGCACCCCACCCCCCACCGGTGCGACCCCACCCCTCCCCAGTCGCCACTGAGCGACGTGTGGGTCCCACGGGACACTGCAAATCGCACTCCTCTGACCTCTCAGGAGGTCCGTCCCCTCCAGGGCACATGCTTCGAACCATCACACGAAAGGCTAGACGTTCCCAGGCTCAAAGGCTCCATAGGAAAATGCTTATCGAGACTTAGGGCATTTGAAGTTTCTCGCCAGCCTAAGCAAGACTTACCAGGTCATCGACAAGAACTGCAATATGCAGAACAACAAGGCCAGGCCCTTCTTGTGCCACTAACAACAGCAAAAACAGACAAACAGCAAGTTAGGAATCTTTAAAAATATTTGTCTCAAACAGGTTTCAATTCCTCCCCTTCGAAAATGCAGACAGCTTCATTTACGTTATTAAGTTTTACCGTGACAAATTTGAGACTCGGTAGATCCAAACTTGAAATCTCCGTGAAGCATCTTTCCTTTCTAAAGTCTCCGTATCAATTTAGACGCTGGGAAATACGGGGCACCGAGTGAGTGTCCCCGAAGTAACCGCGCGAGGCTGCACGCACCGGTGCTCTCCCGCCAGCTCTCCAAGTCGACGCCACCTTCACTAAAGTCAACCCTGAAAACCCCACGGAGCTATCCGATCTCTGTCCTGGGTGGGATGTGCACCCTTTACTCCTTTCTCTCTTGCTCCTGGAGTTATTTTTTGAAGAAAAACGGCATTTTACCGTGATCTTCTAGAATAACGTAAAATTAACAGTTTCGGTTTTTTTTTAAAAAAAATTTTTTTTTTCCAACGTTTATTTATTTTTGGAACAGAGAGAGACAGAGCATGAACGGGGGAGGGGCAGAGAGAGAGGAGACACAGAATCAGAAACAGGCTCCATTCTCCAAGCCATCAGCCCAGAGCCTGACGCGGGGCTCGAACTCACGGACCGCAAGATCGTGACCTGGCTGAAGTCGGACGCTTAACCGACTGCGCCACCCAGGCGCCCCAACAGTTTCGGTTTTAAAATGGCCTATTTTTAGAATTGCTTGTTCATTTTTATTTTTGCTTACTTCTTTATTCATTTTAACTTACTGCCTATAAATAAATAGGCTGTTAGACCAAGGCCAAAACTCAATGTTCCATACAGATATGCAAATACTGTTTAATTAAGAACATTCTTTTAGGGGCGCCCGGGTGGCTCAGTCGGTTAAGCCTCTGACTTCGGCTCAGGTCATGATCTCACGGTTTGTGGGTTCGAGCCCTGAGTCAGGCTCTGGGCTGACAGCTCAGAGCCTGGAGCCTGCTTTGGATTCTGTGTCTTCCTCTCTGCCCCACCCCCGCTCGTGCTCACGCGCTCTCTCTCAAAAATAAACATGAAAAAAACTAAAGAATATTCTTTCAGTCATCATTGAGAAATGAGGTGTAAGAATTGTCACACAATTAAAGCTCAGTCCATTTTGACACAGAATATTTCTAGAACATATATGCTACTGTTTTTTTTTTTAATGTGTAGTTTTCTCGATAGCTCACGAACCACCTCAAATCCCTAAGTAGATGGGGGGGGGGG